TATAGAATTGCATGTGTGCTAAATGATGGTTTCTATCATATGTGTAGGTTCTGAGCCAAAATGGATTAGAATAAGATAGTCCAACCCATGATGGTTTCCAACTTTCCATTTGTGATTAGCTTGACTGTAGTTTTGCCGCACGGGAATCCTTTGCCGAGCAGGATGTTAGTAATATCTTTTATTCTTTGTTTCGTTAAGTGTTTATTGGTATTAGTTTTGGTGTAAAACACTGATTAGTAATTTTCCATGGAACGGGCAGTATATCTCTGACACGTTATTCCAGTGACAGTTTAGCATTATTTATTAAGGTATGTATATTTCATCTAGCTTAGCCATTTGCTGCTTCCCACACACAATCTTAGTAGGCGACATTCTTGTTACTATTATTGTTATTTATATTATTATTATTGTTATTGTTAATGTAATTATTATCATTAGTACTATTTCAAAGTATGGAGGATATATCCATCGCAAATTATTCTTAGATTTCCATAGCTGTTTCACTTGATATTTTTTCCATAGTTGATTTTTAATTGTCAAATCTTTTTTAAGTTAAACGGTTGTACTCTAAGTCATGTTGGGGAAGAGGCAATGAGAGAAGATACAAGTGAAATTTACAGTAGTAAATTTAATTGTGAGTTTCAGGAATTTATTCTTGCTCATTATATCATTCCAACTATCCTTGATGCTTTGAATGGTTCTGAATCAATCCTAGATCCTATCACAAAAGTTTGCACTCAAGGTGTTCAACAAAATCCCTAAAAGAGAATTTATAATTTCTAATTCTAGAGCATGAACAAGTATTTAATTTCTAATTCTGGCAGGTGATTCATCAAATACGAGGCCCCGTCCTAGCACCATGACTCTGATTCTAACATCATTTGATCACGAGGGACAATATTAAGAAGTAAGGTCTTATGTATAACATCTTTTAGTATGTACAATTCGTTCTATTTTTTATCCTTTGACACCTCAGTTTCTAATTTCTTTCAAGGAACATATTTAGTGAAAGAAGTAAGTCAATGATATGGAAATTTGAAGACGGTGTTTTATTTGTAAATTATTCTTAGCAGATATTCAGGACAGTGCGTGTGGATATAAAGTGAAAAGACGTGGAGGGACAGTGTTTGCAAGTGAAGACTAAATTTGTTGTTCTGTCCTGCATATGTTGAAATAAGATGAAACCTCAACCATGAAGGTTCTTTCAACACTTTCAAGATATGGATAATATTTTTCTCTTTCTCAGTTTTTCTCAATGCATTCTCAAATCTATTGGTCTTTTTAGAAGCTTTTAATACATTATTTAAATGCTTTCTATGAAGTTTGAATGAAACTATTAAGACATTAATAGTTCTATAATATACTTGGATGTCAATTGAGAGTTTTCAATTGCTATATGTGTTTTGATTATCCGAGTATAATAATAACATAATCTAATTAAATGTTTTTTGGGAAAATCCATCCAATGAGAATCTGTTGCGGTTGTGATTTGAATTGGGATATAAAATAGAAGACCAACTCGAGAAACCTGATTCAGAAACGGGTTTAGGGTTTGAGAAGGCTGGATTGAAAGTGTAATCGATGAAATTGATCATAATACAGAAGAAATAAAAAAAAGAAATTCCTTAAATGGGAAGTCATCAATTGGTATGCTCTCAACGTTCTAGAGCTTTTATGTTCAGTGAGAATGACACCAATATTTGTTTGAATGTTATGGAAGTTTCATGTTCACTCAGAATGACACCAATATTTGTTCTTCTTTACATGAGTATGTGTTGGATAGACTGTTTAGAGAGGGGGGCCGGAGTCGAAAGCCTTATATATATAGAGTAGAGCGGTTTAATTGTCGTTACGCCATGTGGCATGCCACCTAAGATTATTCTGCTGACTCATCATAAAAATGCCATTCCATGTAGGATTAAAAAATTGACAATTAAAGAAGAAGAGGATTACCAAGCACATTTTTCATTTCCGATTCACTGGTACGGAGCACATAACCTTTTTTAATTATTTTAAGGGTTTTTCTCTTCTTTCTCCTCCCTGAAGAACGGTCATTCCCTCTGATGAAGACGAAAGACCGGAGACCTATTCATCGAATATTTTACGTGATGGCCTCTCTAGGAGAAACGAATATTGTAACCAACGTCCTCAAGAAGGCTGCGAAAGTTCTTCATTACCGCCACGAGAGGAATTCTGCCTGTCACTCCAAGCCACCAATTTGGACAGGTTTTTTTAATTCAAATTTTAAAATTAAATGTTAATACTTCAAATCTTGGGTATTTACACCGTAATACAGAATTGGTGTATGGTGATAATTGTTTGGTTTTATTTATTCAATTTAATTGTATTCTTTTAATAATTCTTTAATGGTAATAACATATCTAATTGTTTTTATTTAGTATTATGTAATTTTTTAATACTTTAATCTTTTTTTTCATAGTTTTGTTCAATTTATATATATGGAGTAACTGGTTATATTGTATGGAATATTTTATAGAGTATTTAGGAAGTTTTGAAGCATTCATACCAAGAATTAAACAAAGTACGGAGTTTTTAAAAAGTTTTTTTAAAGGTAAATTCTTTTGTGATCCTTAAGTTCATGCTCATTTTATGGTCCTTAAACCTTAATGTATATTGCTCCTTTTAAAAAGAAAGAGATCCAATTATATGGTCATGAAGAATATGTGTGAAAGTTCACATTTTGACCTTAGTACCACAATTGTAAAAATTTTTATCGTGCTGTTATAAGGCATTCCTTTGCCTCCTGTCTCTTTTCTTTTTTTAATGTTCATTTTCAAATTTCAGTTCAACCTGTTGGCATTGAGGAATGACAGAGTTGGGAAATCACTGCAAGGAATCACAATCAGCAGTGGCAGGTACGAACTTCCTAACATCAACCCAGTTCTTCTCCCAAGAAATTGCGGTGATGGGGGAAAGCACTTCTTTGAGTCAGGGAAATATAAAAAAAAGGCTTAAAATTCAAGATATTTCATTAGGTGGGTTTTAAATTGGCCCATTGTTGTTGTTTCCATTTGGATGATCTTTCATAGGGGCCTAATTAACTTCTTCATCTTTTTGAGTTATATTTTAGAATAATCAATGACAAATATTTGTTATTTGTTTTTCTCGCAACCTTTTTTGCAGATGGTTTTAATGAAAACGGTAGCTCTACCGAAACAATCTCACCTCCTAAAGCTAACCAAAAACCCAATGGTGTCCAGAAGGGAGGCTCTTTGATTACACTTAATAAGCAATGTGCTGGTGAAGCAACAATTGTTTATGGACATGGGGCTGACATTGAGACATTAATGCCAGAGTTAAGGCACCCCGATTACTACACTATGCCTCAGATCCAAGAGCTTCCAGCCATGGAAAGGGCTGAACTTTGATTCATCCACCATCTCAGCAATTTTGTCGTGGGAAGAAAGGCCATTGTCCAATTCAACAACCAAAAGGCAATTGTTTATAAGGACGAGAGCTAGAAACCGCCTGTAGGACAAGGTCTCAACAAACCTGATGGGGTCGCACTCCTAAACATAAAAGTTTTNATTTGGTGGTTAAATTGTTAAAGTTGTGCCATGTGTGTTTTGTTAAGTAATGGATGTTTTGTGTCTGGTTTAGGGGACATAGTGGGGGCCTTGTTGGGTGGATGTTTTAAGGGGTAAATGGGTTTTTTTTGGCTTCTTGTTTTCGACCAACTTAAGGGTTATGAAGGGGGTTTTGTTGGGTGTGTTTTAACATGGTCTTGAGGGGTGAATGAGGTAGGGTTTTGGGGAAGATGGGTTCGGCCAAGATGAAAAGGAGAAGGGGGAGAATGGTTAAGGTTTGGTGTTGTTTCTGGATTGTAGGGATTGAGGAGGATCATGGGTTTAAGGGCCTTCAAAATGGATCATATAGCTTAAACATAGGTCCTCGGCTTCCCTCGGGAGTGTAGGGTATAGGGCGAACCATGATGAGGCTGAGCCCAGATATATCAAGAACTATGGGAGATTGACTTTTCAATCAGATGGGTTGCAGTGACGACACAGCGGCGGTCGAGCATCGGCGACAGGAGGAACTGTGATGGATTCAAGGAGGGGTATTGTTGAAGGCTTCTTCTGGCAGCCGCGCTTCACACAGCGCAGATCAGAGAGGGAAAAGAGAGGGAGTACTCTATCGACTAGAATGAAAACAGAGATGACGGACAGACCTTTAGGAACAACGCATCTTGAGGGAGAGGTAAAGGTGAAGGTCGTGGTTGCAGGAGTACAATCAACAATTCTTCATCTTTCTCAACATTGGCCTGGCTGCTACACTACATTTCTATTTTTTTCATCAAATTCATATAGAAACTCTCAAAGTAAGAATAGCTAAGGGCATAACTCCGTGGTGACTGACATGCAAATAAGAGGTGCATTTATTTGTTTCTATCTCTTTAATCCCTTTGATGCACTTCCTACGGGTGGCAGAGCTGGGCTAGGCCAGCAACACCACCTGGCTTGCTGGATTTGGGATTGGCTTTAGTCTCTGGTATCACATATTTCATTTCTAGAATTTTACATCCGAGCATATCTAACATTGCTTCTAAGTATCTATTATCTAACATGGCATGAATGGCTAACAGTGCAGGTTAAATGATTTGGGTGTAATTGGCTACCACTCACTGTATCTCCCGTTAATATATGCCGTGTTTTTAGCCGACTTCTTTCAGGTAGTTACAATGATCAATTTTTTTTCTTCCCAATGAAGAATGACATTCTTATATGCACTTTGAGCTTCATCTGTCACTTGACTCACCTCTATACTAATCGTTGTTCTATTTGGGGGCAACAAACAATTCAGGAAGAAGATTGGCTTTTGGAGGAGGCATACTATTTGGAGATGAAAGACGCGGGGTTCTTTGATGCAGATTGGGAATAGCATTTTACGCGTTGTGATCGCCTCATTGTCTATGTACTTTGTGAATATTTCCACTCATGTGAACTGTCCACAACCCCGTCTTGGAAACGCAGTGGGGGCAGATATCTTCCTCTTCGGTGATTGTGTGTAAACGGACCGTTCTTCTTTTAGAGATGCTAAGAATGTAGAAACTGTAAGGTTAATTCTTGGGGAGCAACATCACCCGCGTCAGCGAGTAGATCTACTGGTCTTCTTTTTCTTTCAATGTGGTAGCAAGGTAATGCTTTCTATTCGAGTTTTATTCAATTTTAAAAAAATTCTTTCATACTTTGTGGTATATATGTAATTTGATATATTTTTGCACTTGATATTTCAATTATTCTCTAGTAATTATCTGTATTTGAGTGCATCAATCTACAATTTTGAGTGTATTTCATAAGCTTACCTAAGATCAAGAGCCAATAGAATGGGGTAATTTAAATTAGTGTTACACTGTCAATATATTTGTTCTTTTTTTGATAGGTTACCGCGAGTATACTATGAATGTGCCTGATATTGTTTGTAGTCTAGGTTCTATTTGGGAAGGCTGCATTGGCATATCTGCACTGAAGGTTTGAATTATGTTATTGATGAATCTTAGTTTTAATAATGTTATTGATGAATAATGTGTCTTCAAACCTTCATTTTCATGTAGTTATTCTTTGGGTGTTGTTATTTTTCTCAGTCAATGGATGAGCAAAAGATAGAAATGAAGTTGATGGACCGTGAAGCTACAGTTTCCTCCTATGTAGGTGGTTCATAAAGCCTCAAATATGGTTGGTAGAGAAGGCATCCCTCTTCAGGAAGGATAAGAAAAGGTAATACAATAGGCGTAACTTTTCCTCTCCAATTTTTTTTTTTGAATAAATTTTCTTAACAACTAGGCCTCTCAAATAACAAATGGTTTGAAGGAGAGAGTTTTTATTTTGTCAGGTGCTCTCTTAGTATGAAAGGGATAGAAGAAGAGTTCGAGAGCTGATTCCCTTTCAAGCTTCTCAGAGTATTTCTTCAGGTTGACCTAATTTTAGTACTACCTACTCTGAGAGAAAATTTGATTGTTGATAATCCAAAATACCTCAATGACATTGAGGTATATATGAAATTGTTGAGCTACTCTTATTCTTTTAATATGTATATGATGGCACTTATATTTATCATACAAATGTTTTTTTCGTTTTTGTTAGTTAACATATTTTTATTTTTTATATCGTAGTTATCATAACTAAATATCGTATGTAAAACGGAGTATTTGAAAACATATTTATATATCATATAAACAGTATAAACAGTATTAAACAGTATTAAAAATTCATGTAAATAAATGTATATTTTTACTAACCAATTATAATGTTTCCGTTCCTGATGTCGGCAGGGGCAATCAACAGGTTGGTGCCGCATTTGTTGACGCCTCCACTGGTTTGGACTAACCAAGAATTGAAAAAAAGGGGATTTTCAATGCAAAACTTTGAATCGAATCCATTTGACTAATTTTAAAGTGGAGAACAGCTAGACGTTGTGAAAATAAAAGAGATTTAATTTTGAGAAAATTGCCAAATATATAGTAGTTGCACAATCTCAGATGAGTAGATGTGTATGCACCGCGTCGAAGCATATTTAAACTTTGGGTGGGTTTGTCTATTCTCTGTAAAATTGTTGGAGAGTTGAAAATTTTCAATTCAACATTACGGTAGTACTTAAAGTAGTGTAGTGTTCTTTTAATTGAAGGTTTAGGATACCTAAAGCATTAAATTTTATAGTTAGTTATAGAATTGCATGTGTGCTAAATGATGGTTTCTATCATATGTGTAGGTTCTGAGCCAAAATGGATTAGAATAAGATAGTCCAACCCATGATGGTTTCCAACTTTCCATTTGTGATTAGCTTGACTGTAGTTTTGCCGCACGGGAATCCTTTGCCGAACAGGATGTTAGTAATATCTTTTATTCTTTGTTTCGTTAAGTGTTTATTGGTATTAGTTTTGGTGTAAAACACTGATTAGTAATTTTCCATGGAACGGGCAGTATATCTCTGACACATTATTCCAGTGACAGTTTAGCACTATTTATTAAGGTATGTATATTTCATCTAGCTTAGCCATAACGACGAAGGGTGTGTGTTAGAATCATCCGCTGTAAGAACAATGATAATAACAATAAATATAATAATAATAACAATAACAATTACATTAATAATAGTAATCATGATAAAGTTTCATACCTCCTATATAGGTAGCGTTTAATAAGAATTAAAAGGTATCGTGTTTCACTTGATATTTTTTCCATAGTTGATTTTTAATTGTCAAATCTTTTTTAAGTTAAACGGTTGTACTCTAAGTCATGTTGGGGAAGAGGCAATGAGAGAAGATGCAAGTGAAATTTACAGTATTAAATTTAATTGTGAGTTTCAGGAATTTATTCTTGCATTTATGGGTTTGATTGATTGACTCAGGTTGTTGATTTGTCGACATATTTTTGACATTCAAACAAGACTTGATCTTCACGAAATGGGTAAATGTCTCTTCTATGTTGTCTTTGAATCTCTATATAATGTCTTCTTCCTCAAACAAGTTTAAGAGTAGTTACTTGATTGTCAACACAAATCATCTTTTATCTCTCAGCTTGATTGTCACTCTTCTTATGAACATCAAAAGTCAATACTATCTGAGCTTCTTAAAGTTATTCATTAAGGTATGTATATATTATCTCGCTTTGTCATTTGCTACTGCCCACCCCCATATGAGTAGGTCATATTACCACGCTTATTACTAACTTTAAAATGGTATGTCTGGACTCTGGATTACTCAAAATCTTTACTATTTGAGATTTAAAGAATGCATAGCTTGACATAATATGTGACCTTTAACAATAATAAATAATTTCCATTACCATATACCACCCCAATCTCCTTTGATATGCTTAATGCAACAATAACCAAAGCCCATCTCTTTTCTCATTAGTACCTGACATTTTTGGCACACATTTCTTCATTATACCTTTTTGAAATTAATTTTTCTGATTTGTGTGATGTGCTTTTGCTGATTTTTTTCTTCACAAATTGGCACCCCTCTGGGTGGGTACTAGAGTATTATAGTTCACTTGGGTACTCTGGGTGGGTGCTAGAGCTTCAAGAAAATGCCAATTTGCTACTCTAAAAAAATTCCTACTTTTCCTACCATTGTCTTTGTTGTCAAATGAAAATTATATTATGAAACAATAAAATTGTGGATTTGTTAGGCCTTGGCTAACAAAAAAGAATAATTTGTTCCACAATAACAAGTTCTAAAGACAATGCACTATCTTTTTGCAAATGAGCAAATAAGTTATGGGTAAGTCAGTTGGAACAATTATCTTTATATGCAGTTTCCACTTAGAATGGTTAAAAATTCTACATTTTTATAAGTAACATCTGTATTTAGATAAGAGAAACTAGACACTATTAAAATGGGAACAAAAAAAGAGAGCTTTATTTTTTTATGTTTTCTATTTTATATTAAAATAGAATGATATTTTTAAATGACACCTATGTGGTGTGGTGTTTGCAACTATCTGAAATAAGGGATGGGGTGGAAATTTCCAAATGTGGGTAGCTTTCAATTATCAAGCACAAGATTGAAAAAATACTCCCTCCGTCCCAAAATATTTGTCACATTTGCTTTTTCAACAGCCGCGTGAACTTTTGTTTATTTCTACGTTTTCATTGGTTATTTGTTAAAATAAAATATTTTTGACACCTCTTATTTCGAAGAACTTTTCATGTAGTTTTTTGATATGTAAATTTTATTTGTTATTTCCATACCAATATGTAAATACAATGAATTGAAAAAACTAGATATTTTACCTCGGGAATACAAGTGACAAATATTTAGAGATGGAGGGAGGGAGTAGAAAAGAAATCTTGAAATAAGATAATGAGGATAAGCAAATCATTTGTTTTGTTAATTATCAGTCCCTTCATTCCACAAGGTTAGTCATTGCGTTTTCCTTTTTGCTGCCAAAGTCTGAAAAAAGTATTAAAAAAAGCTAGAAAATATGTGCAGCGTGGCTACCAATCTATACATTTGTATAGTAATGGCATTGACTTTTAGATTAAATGTGTTTATAAATGTTAAATTATACCACCCAAAAAATGATAAATTACAATACAAATTTATTTTATTTAAATAATAAGACAATTTACCAAGATAAAGTATAAAAGTCATATTAAATCTTTTTTCTAATTTATTTGTGTTAAATATTCGACCATTTTAAATATCTCTTGTTTTATAGATTTTTATGTAGAGACCAAAAGTTACTCCCTCTGTCCCAATTTATAGCGCCTGTTTCGGTTTACGATGTTTGACTGAAATTGTTTTCAAATCATTTTATATGACAAATGGTATAAAGCTAAAAAATGAAAATTACATATCAAAATACTAAATCAAAAGATCTACAAAACTAATAGTGACAATAGTACTTTATTTTATCAAGTTGCTAATTAAAATAGAGAAAGAAAGTGAATGAAGTTTGACCTTGTGAATAATAAATATGCACTGTAAATTGGGGCGGAGGGAGTATTATTTATCATTTATTTAACATCAATATTAAAATAAATAGTATAAAAACCAATTTCATATAGGCACATCATTAAAAAATACGAAACTTATTCAAACTATTACTATAATTGATGTGAACAGGTGTAATATTAGGTATGAATAGTTTAATAAAAATGGAAATCTCTAATTCATAAATAAACTTTTTCAATAATGGTTAAATTTTAAAAAATATTATTGTATACATTATATGTCACGATGAGTGGGTGACACACCGTTTTGATTAATTGTATTCTATAATTTAATTGAAAATATTATATAATAATAAATACTACAAAGTAATGTATTTTTTCAATTAAATCATAAATTATCTTAGAACTACAAACCATAAATTGTCTAGTAATTAGAATAAACAATAAATTCAATATACTCGATCATATTATCAAATTAGATCTACTATTGTTTTATTTATTTTAATAACTTTATAGTTCAATCATCTCTTTTTTATCAATTTTATTTCATTTTTTAAAATACTTATATCTTTAAATTTTACATCAATATTTAAACAATAGAATAAAAAACAACTTCATTTAAATTTAATATTGTATCATAAGTAAGTTTGAAATTTATTTAGAGACGAAGAGATTATCTTATTTATTCCCAAAATTTTGGTCTCGGATTTCACACGAGAGAAGCTTTGGAGTACTTGTGATTTTTGTCTAGGATTTCGCACGCCATTTTGGAGTACACGGAGATAAACCTAAAGCACATCCCAGGCAACAAGACATAGAGAGAGAACTACGGGAGATTGACTTTTCAATCAGATGGGTTGCAGTGACGACACAGCGGCGGTCGAGCATCGGCGACAGAGGAGGAACTGTGATGGATTCTAGGAGAGGTATTGTCGAAGGCTTCTCCTGGCAGCCGCGCTTTACACAGCGCAGATCGGAGAGGGAAAAGAGAGGGAGTACTCTATCGACCAGAATCAAAACAGAGATGACGGGCAGACCTTTAGGAACAACGCATCTTGAGGGAGAGGTAAAGGTGAAGGTCGTGGTTGCAGGAGTACAATCAACAATTCTTCATCTTTCTCAACATTGGCCCAGCGGCGACGGTACATTTCTATTTTTTTCATCAAATTCATATAGAAACTTTCAAATTAAGAATAGCTAAGGGCACAACTCGGTGGTGATTGACATGCTAAATAAGAGGTGCATTTATTTGTTTCAATCTCTTTAATCCCTTTGATGCACTTCCTACGGGTGGCAGTGCTGGGCTAGGCCAGCAACACCACCTGGCTTGCTGGATTTGGGATTGGCTTTGGTCTCTGGTATCACATATTTCATTTCTAGAATTTTACATCCGAGCATATCTAACATTGCTTCTAAGTATCTATTATCTAACATGGCATAAATGGCTAACGGTGCAGGTTAAATGATTTGGGTGTACTTGGCTACCACTCACTGTATCTCCCCTTAATATATGCCGTGTTTTTAGCCGACTTCTTTCAGGTAGTTACAATGATCAATTTTTTTTCTTCCCAATGAAGAATGACATTCTTATATGCACTTTGAGCTTCATCTGTCACTTGAGTCACCTCTATACTAATCGTTGTTCAATTTGGGGGCAACAAACAATTCAGGAAGAAGATTGGCTTCTGGAGGAGGCATAATATTCGGAGATGAAAGATGCGGGGTTCTTTGATGCAGATTATGAAAAGCATTTTACGCGTTGTGATCGCCTCATTGTCTATGTACTTTGTGAATATTTCCACTCATGTGAACTGTCCACAACCCCGTCCTGGAAACGCAGTGGGGGCAGATATCTTCCTCTTCGGTGATTGTGTGTAAACGGACCGTTCTTCTATTAGAGATGTTAAGAATGTAGAAACTGTAAGGTTAATTCTTGGGGAGCAACATCACCCGCATCAGCGAGTAGATCTACTGGTCTTCTTCTTTCAACGTGGTAGCAAGGTAATGCTTTCTATTCGAGTTTTATTCAATTTTAAAAAAATTCTTTCATACTTTGTGGTATATATGTAATTTGATATATTTTTGCACTTGATATTTCAATTGTTCTCTAATAATTATCTTTATTTGAGTGAATCAATCTACAATTTTGAGTGTATTTCATAAGCTTACCTAAGATCAAGAGCCAATAGAGTGCGGTAATTTAAATTAGTGTTACACTGTCAATATATTTGTTCTTTTTTTGATAGGTTACCGCGAGTATACTATGAATGTGCCTGATATTGTTTGTAGTCTAGGTTCTGTTTGGGAAGGCTGGATTGGCATATCTGCAGTGAAGGTTTGAATTATGTTATTGATGAATCTTAGATCCGACCAGTCCATCAATTGGCGATCACTTTAGGCCAAAATGCACACCATAACAAAGTTTATGGTCAATCTTACGTGACCTCCGTTTGTTGCTAACACACTTCGAATTTCTTTGCGAGTTCCATCGTCGTTGTTGTTTTCAATGATTCGTTTCACCGCTTTTTTTGCATCGATATGGATGTTGATGGGTTGGGCTGTGAGGTTAGTGGCCCATTTTAGGCCCAAAAGAGCTGAAACAAGTTCACCTTCCTCGCTGTTGTCTGCCCTGTGTATGAACAAGGTTGTTGCTCTTAAGAAGCTTCCTGATCTTGTGCACAGGATAGCTCCTCCTGCCATCTGATTTTCGTTCGTTGCTACATCAGTGGTGAGGATCACCCCCTTCTCCGTCCTTGTCCATGTAAACAATTTAATTGATGGTAATAACATGAAGGGGATGTTGGATTGTGACAGGCTAATTCTGCCTTTTCCTTTCAGGATTGCCCACTCTAGAAACCTTTTCCAAATAATATGAGTGATTTGGGATTCATTTTTTGTCTCATTCTCATATATTCTTCTGTTTCTTTCCTTCCAGATTTCGTGCGCTATTATACCTGGAATCACCGTGCACTCAAGAAGACTTTGTTGATCTCTTCTGTTATTCCTCCACCATTTCATTAGGTAAGCGCTAATTCCATGTGTTGTAGAGATTGTGATTTTGAAGGTAGATTCGAAATGTTCCCATATAGCTTTACTGAAACTGCAATCCTTGAGAGTATGTCCTGGACTATCTTCATTGTTCCTGCAAAACAGACATATTGAAGGGAGGGTATGTCCAAACTGTGTGAGTTGTTTAGGGAAGGGACCCAAGGGGAGAATGTTGTAATAGATTTTCCATAGAAAAATAGATATAGAGGGGATTTGCTTTTTGTGCCAAATTGAATTAAGAATTGTGTCGTTGGAAGCTTTCTCTCTCAGAGCTTCATAAGCTTTCCTGATGTGGAAGTCTGATTGGGTGTTCCAGAAGGGGTTAGTCTC